ACTTTAACACATTGTCTAATGCTTAGCCTGAAGACTGGCTGTCAGACTCGTACATACTATTTTGGGCTCTATTACTCACTGCCGAGTATCTCATTCTTATATCCTATGGATTCTGCTGAAGATTTCAGGATTTGCTGCATTAAAGATAAAATGTTGTTTAATTAATATTAGTAAGGCAAGTGCAAAAGGAAAACGGAATGAAACCTAATGCAGTGATAGGGGAAACAGATTTCAGGTTGGCATGAGTCGGTCAAAAACAGGCAAGTTGGAGGAATTCCTAGAAGAGCACCCATGATAATCAGGGGATGGGGCGGTCTGAATGATTTCTAAAAGAGGAAGAAACAGTATGTTCCATTATGCTTGAAAAGGAGCCAACAGGGAGGGAAGTGTTGAGATCCAGTAGGAACATAAAGGCAAAGAGGAATAGAGTGGTACTGGCATGGCATAAGGAAAGATTTTCCAGGAATAATGTCATAAAAGCAAGAATATCATCAGTCAGGTTCAAGTCTAGCAGCAGCTTCCTGGAAATGATAGATATTAAATTATACCATTTGATGAACCGATCTGATATGTTTTCAATGTCTTCTAAAACTCTCTGGAAGGTTTAGCCCAACAAGCAGATGTTCACGGGGCTATCATAATCTGTTTTATCAACTCAGGGGCACATAGTGCCACCTCTCCTTCATTTTCCCAAGCCGGCCCTCTGACAGGATATGGAGTCTTTTCTTGAGGCTCCTGCCCCAGCTTCCTTAGAGCCAGAAAGAGACGATCTTGCCTGTGAGCTGGAATCTGAGGCACCGTGGATGGCCGCTCCTACCTGGTGGGCAGGCCCATGTCCAGTGCTACAGGACAGTCCTCCTTGGATCTCAGTGGAACTCCACTCTGGGTTACAAGGGTGACATACTCTTTTAGTGTTTATTCCTTTAGTCAACATAGTTCCCAGAACAAACCTCTGGGCTAAGATAACCAGTCCTGGAGGAGCTAATTGCATCCTCAGGGTTATCAAACTCTGTCTCAACAGATTGTCCCAATTTGGCATCTTATGGGAGCCAGGGACTCAGGTCCTAGTTCCTTTTCTCTCAGAAGTCTTTGGTTTCTTCCTGTATATTGTTCACTCCATTCTCTGCACCCAGATCTGTGATATCCACAATGAAAGAGGCTCCATAATTGGCCTCTATAAAGTTATAGAAAGCTAACTTGTCTCAACTAAAATGACAGTATCTCACTCTAATGATCAGTTAGGTATTTCTTTTATAGATTCTTAGACTCATAGAATTGTAGATTGGTATGAAATTTGCTGGTCTTCTAGTCAAGACTTTTTATTTTACAAACATGGAAGCAGACCCAGAGAAAAGTGAGTCATGAGAATCCACACAGTGCCAGAGCTGGGCCCAAAGCCCTGCACCCCTGTCCACTTTTCGTTCCATGGCACCTCACTTTCATTTCTCTTTTGATTTTATTTAATTTCTTGTTTCACTGAAAAACTTACAGCTTTGTGTCTGTTATAGTAAGCTTCCCTCTTTTTGGTATAGGTGCATTAATAAATGAATTAGAGAAATTAGATGTCTCATAAAACTCCTGCTTCTTATGAATTATGTACACCATTTATATCCTTGAACATTAATTGTTCTACCTAGTTGTTTTTTTGTTTTTTTTAATATATTTTATTTATTTTTTTACAGAGAGGAAGAGAGAGGAATAGAGTCAGAATATCGATGAGAGAGAATCATCGATTAGCTGCCTCCTGCACACCCCACACTGGGGATGTACCCACAACCAAGGTACATGCCCTTGACCGGAATCAAACCCGGGACCTTTTAGTCCGCAGGCGGACGCTCTATCCACTGAGCCAAACTGGTTTCAGCCCACCTAGTTTTGAGTGCTGTCTGATAACAAAATGTTAGGAAATGGAGTCTGACAACATGTAAAAAGGTACATATATTATGATCAAGTGGAGGTTATCTTAGAAATGCAAGGTTGGTTTAACATTCAAAAATAAATCAATGTTATTTTCCTTATTAATACACATTTTAAAAAAAGAAAATCTGTGATTATCTCAATAGATGCAGAAAAAGTGTTTGTCAGAATCCAGCATCCATTCCTGATTTTTTACATAAAAAAACTCCCAGCAAATTAGAATAGAAGGAAATTTCCTCAACTCGGAAGGGACATCTATGAAATACCTAAAGCTACCATCATAAATAACAATGAAAGATGGAGTATATTTCCCGACATCAGGAACAAGGCAAGGATATTTGCTCTTACCATTTACAGTTTACACTGTATGAGAGGTACAGTGCAGTACCAGTACATCTAGCCAGTGCAGCATGGCAAGAAAATACCTTGAAATCATCCAGTTTGGAAAGGAAATAAAATGTCTTCGTTTACAGACAACATAATCTACATAGAACATCTATGTGATCTACCAGGACAAAAGGTTATGAAAACTAATAAGCACCAGCCAATATTGCTCAGTGATTTAGCACTCACCTATGAACCAGGAGGTTATGATTTGATTCCCGTTCAGGATTGTGGCTTCAAGCCCCAGTGTGGAATTTGCAGGAGACACCCAGTCAATGTCTGTCTGTCTGTCTGTCTGTGTGTCTCTCTCTCTCTCTCACTCTCTCTCTCTCTCTCTCTCTCTCCAACACTCTCTAAAAATCAAGAAAAGTATTTTTCTTTATAGTTAGACTTACACATACAAATGGTTTTCCATTCTACCCCTAGGTATTTACACAAAAGAAATGAAAGGATATGGTCATATAAAGACTCATACACTAATCTATAGCAGCTTTATCTGTAATAGCCAAAAACTGGGAGCACCCAAATATCCACCTTTAAGTAGATAAATGGATAAAAAAAATTGTGCTTTGTCCGTACAATAGAACACTTTTCGTCAATAAAGGAACACACGGTTGGAGCACACAACATGGATGAATCACAAAATATCTATGCATCATAAAATAATACAGAATTAAAAGGATACAGTCTGTATGATTCCATTTATATAAGATATAGAAAATGACAACTAATATATAGTGTCTGAGCAGACCTGTGGTTTCAGAGAGATGCAAGGAGGGACTATTAAGGATATAAAGAGATTGTTGTTGATGAAGGATGTGTTCATTGTCTTGACTACCAAAATATATCAAACTGCACACTATAAATATATGCAGTTTATTGTATACTTGAGGCCCAGTGCACAAAATTCGTGCATGGGGGTGAGGGTCCCCTCAGCCCAGCCTGGACCCTCTCCAATCTGGGACCCTCAGGGGATGTCCGACTGCCAGTTTTGGCCTGATTCCAGGGATCGGGTTGAAACTGGCAGTTGGACATCCCTCTCACAATCCTGGACTGTTGGCTCCTAACTGTTCACCTGCCTGCCTGCCTGATTGCCCCTAACTGCCCCCCTGTCAGCCTGACCACCCTTAACCACCTCTCCCTGCCAGCCAGGTCACTGCCAATTGCCCCCCTCTGTGAACCTTGTCGCCCCTAACTGCCACCCCTGCCGGCTTGGTCACCCCTTAGTGCCTCCCCTGCCAACCTGGTCACCCCCAAATGCCCCTCCCCCCATTGGCATGGTCATCCCCAATTGCCCGCACCCTCCCCCTTGTCCTGGTCACACCTCATTGCCCCCTTCTGCTGGTTTGGTCATCCCTAACTTCTCCTCCCCCGATGGCCTGGTCACCTTTTATTGCTGCCCCACCAACCTGGCTGCCCTTCCCTGCCCTCCCTGCTAGCCTGGTTGCCCCTAACTGCCCCCCCTGCCAGGCTAGTTGCTCCTAACTGCCCCCCCCACTGGTCTAGTCACCCCAACTTCACCCCCTGCCAGCCTGGTTGCCCCTCACTGCCTCTCTTGCTGGCCTGGTCACCCCTCACTGCCTCCCCTGCTGGCCTGGTCAACCCTTAGTGATCCCTCTGCCAGCCTTGTCACTCCACACAGCCTGCTGGCTAGTCGTTTGGTCATCCTCGCTATCACCCCTGCTGGCTTTGTTGGCCCACTCAGCCTGCTGTTCGGTTGTTACTGTGAGGGCATCTTGACCAATTTGCATATTACCTTTTTATTAGTATAGATTAGAGCTGTTAAAAAAAAGTAAATAAGCATAAAGTCACAAAGAAAATAAGACTTGTTGGAATTCATACTAGTAGGAAACATTACTGAAAAACTACATTATGTAAATTACTTATAGATACTATTATTTTAAATATGTCAGTGGACACTTTTTAAAGCAAAGAATCTTTTTTTTTTTTGTAAAAGTGATCTTCACTGTTGAATACATCTTTGTTATAACTCCTATTGTGATATGTTGTGTGTCCTTAAAGAAGATGTACATCAAATTTGCGGATAATGACAGGTCCATTCCACTTCTTTTCAAGAGCTTTTCCTGAGCAACAATGGCATTGTGTTGATTGTACTTTGTCTTAAGGTAGCCAAGGGCAATTGCAATAGCTGGCTACATCTACTCTTTAGTACACAGACCTTTTAGATCCCGTGTTAAGTTGTGTATTGTGATTAAACATTTGGTATCTTAACCAAATTTCAACTTAGCAACTTACATGTATTTAAATCAAGAGACCATTACAAATACTTCAAAAAGTGATTATTTCCTCTTAACACAAAGCTCAAATGAAAACTTGAATCGGGACTGTGTATACATGAACGTTTCTTTTCAGTCAGCCAAAAATAAAAAATAAAAACTACCAAGTTTTAAAGCATGTATGTATTTTAAATGTTTTGCGTGTTCCGTTAAAGATCTGGCTTCAGTTCCACGGGGTAAAAGGACGCAGTAAAATGAAAACAGTAAAGTCAGCCATAAAATCCGACTCTCCAGTATGTTTTCTGAGCTCATTGTGCTGAGCATGAAAATGCTAATGAGCAATTGCCCCTTTCAGCCTGGCTCATGGCAATGAGACTCAGGAACCATGACGTTCTTTCTCACCTTCTCTCTGTGACTCACATAGAAGTGACTGGCCTCTCTTTCTTTCAGGGTCTGAACGGCATGTCTGTGGATGAGAAGCCTGACTCCCCCATGTATGTGTATGAGTCCACAGTCCACTGCACCAACATCCTCCTGGGCCTCAATGACCAGCGGAAGAAGGATATTCTCTGTGACGTGACTCTGATCGTGGAGAGGAAGGAGTTCCGGGCCCACCGGGCTGTGCTGGCTGCATGCAGTGAATACTTCTGGCAGGCGCTGGTCGGACAGACGAAAAATGACTTGGTGGTCAGCTTGCCGGAGGAGGTACAGTAGTTTGGTTTGATTGTGTGTGTTGCTAACGGAGACATATTGGCTTGTAGACAGTTGGCTGGATGAGAGCTAGAAGGTGGAACCTGGGCCATATCCCCACTCAGGGGCTGATGTCCAAGTCACCTACATGTTAGGTTTATGTCATAGCCAGTTTCTATTTGATGCATTTGTAAAGTCTCAGAGGCATGAATCTGAACAGAGCATTTTTCTTAAAGGGAACTGAACCCCATATGTGGCTCACAGCCACTCAGTTTCTGGTTCACTTACTCTTCAGGTTTTGAGTAGTTCACAGTCAAAGAATGGTACAGTCCTAAATGTGGGATCTGAATCACTGGGACTGTTGCTATGATTTCTCTGTTTCAAATGATTTAAGGAGCACTTGAGTTCCCCTGAGAGTTAAAGAATGAGAGTATTCATAGCACTGTGCTTGCTTGGGGAAAAAGTAAAGAGCAAGCTGTAATTTTGACAGTTAATATAGTAAGATTCTAAGAAGCGTAAACTTGTTTTTCTCACCATTGTTGAAAATACCCTACTCAGGTTTCTTAATTACTTCAGTAAATTGAGTCATTTTGGTCTATTGAGGACACTGGTGGCTGAACCTGATCTGTCCAGAGATGACATGCAATTGGATGGTTTGAGCTGCAGGAATTCAAATGATGGGCTTGACAATAATGACAAGCCGCTAAATTGGCCACCCTTTGAGCTGTGCATACAATGTCTCTTCTTCCATCATCCTGGTTGCCCTTCATTTCCATGGGACCAACAATAATACTGAGCAGCCTTAGTCTTTGTGTTCAGGGCCAGAATCACTCCCTGTGCACCAGCACAGTGCACAATACCACAGCCACTGCCACCACTGCACAGCTCCTGGGGTGAAGCTCACGTCCATAGTTTACCCCAGAGTTGAGCAGTGACCCACTGAGCAGCTCTTCACAGCAACCCTAGGAGAAACCAAAACTCCACCACCATGATGTGGAGTTCTGATGAGGACCACCAGCATTAAGTCCCAGGGTCACAGACCCCTGTGTCTCCAGAGGCCTGCCAGATCATACAAATGAGTAAAGAGGCTATGTATAAGACAACAAGAAGTTGTGGGGCAAGAAAGTCATCTAAATTCAACATAAAAAAAACAAATAGCCAGACAAGTAAGACATGGGGGTCAGAGAAGATCAGCAAACCCAGTCCCTTGTTAAGTAACATCTGCCGTGACTCCTGCAGAATGGGAGAGTGGCCATCTGATAAAGTGAGACTTCACAAGAAGTCTCCTTACTCCTCCTCACAGCACTTACAAATAGGTAACTAAAATGATCTCAATACTAGAAGCCCAAGGACAAGTCAGTTGAAGGTGATTAAAATGCATTTGCAGATGGCCCATCCAGCGTGGCTTAGTGGTTGAGTGTCAACCTATGAACCGGGAGGTCACGGTTCAATTCCTGGTCAGGGCCTATGCCTGGTTGCTGGCTTGATCCCCACTGTGGAGGGCATGCAGGCAGCAGCCAACCAATGATTCTCTCTCATCATTGATGTTTCTATCTCTATCTCCCTCTCCCTTCCTCTCTGAAATCAATTGTTTTATATATATATATATATATATATATATATATATATATATATATATATATATATATATATAAATGAAAATCATGATTTATGTAATCAGCCTCTCTTCAGTGTCTGCTGGCCATTTTGAGACTCCCTGGATCATGTGCCGGAAGCCCTGCCTGCCTGGTTACCTCTGGGAGTCTGATCTAGGCACTAAATCTCTGTGAGCCCCAGTTTTTATCTGTAAAAGCCCCTAAAATTCTGATGTCTTTGAATTTATTTATCATAATATGATGCCAAGTCAGTGAAGTTTAAAGGAAACTGAGATATGAATGCACACAGCCATAACCTGAAAGTTTCTTTTTAGATCAAAGCCTGGCAGTATCTTATTTCCTTGGCATGGGGCACTCTTTAAAGTAAGAGGCACCGGTGTAGTCATCACACAAAAACCTGCTATTTGACCTTCATTATTGATTGTGTTCCAGTTAAGGGGGAATATGCGATGTGTTGATTTTCCTTCTTCCTAGCCATGTAAAATGATTGCTGTCCCTATATTGTCTGCATTTCCAAACTATGAAAGCATTCTGATTGCTCAAGTACCTGAAACCTTCAGACATAACTAGATACTTCTTTCTTCCTATGAAACACGAATCCCTATTGTCCATAACCCAGCTCGGCATTTTCCTGAAGCCTGTCATTGTTTCTGAAGCCTCCTTCCAGGAGCCCTGTCCCCCTGCTCAGAGCACCCTCGGTAGCCCCCAGTGCTGGGCTTTGTTTTCTTCTCCTTGCTGTGTACACACTGAAATGTCCTTGCAGGCTCTGTGGTCACTGTACCTCCTAACTCAGTGAATGACTTCATAGAATTTGAATTAAGTGGTGAACAGCAAGAAATCCCAAACACAACCTTGGAAAGTTGCTGCCTGGAACTAACTGGCATTTGGTTCATATGATGTAAGGAAAAGCATTTGATTAGCCCCTTGGAAATCTTTAAACCTCATCATTCTCTCAGTGAATTCAAATCCGAGTCTGGTCCTGTCCCAGCCTTGATCACACATGGCCCACCTCTACACTCCCTGGCCCAACAATTGTTATGTTTCCCAGGGGCCAACAGGACTGAGTCTGAGAGCTCCTCCTTGGACTAAGTAACTTCCAGATACAGACGACCACCACTCCTGCTCGGTCAGTTTAGGCCAAACCTAGCTCTGCTTCCAGCTGCTGTCCAATTGTACATTTCTATCCCCAAATCCTGAGTATTGATGGGCAAATTACCAGCAAATCAGAGCCACAAGGCTGGTGTAGCCTCTTAACTGGAAGGGGGAGAGACAAAAATAGAGACCTCCTTCCAGAAGCCAAGAAGTAATTGAACTATCTTGTTTTCTTCCCCCTAAAATGGAGTGGCAGATAGTCCATAGAAGTTATATGAGTTGAGTATTGGCTCCCCGCTGAAAAACACCCAGGAATGTGTGACAGCCAGCAGTGGAAGAGGAGACATTGTACTTAGTACTTTCGTTAAATAATGAAACAGATAATTTAATTTATAATTAGTAAGTATATTTTATGCTAAGAGATGAAGAGAAAGTGGTTGCTGTGCCAAGCATTGCAAGGCCATTATCCCACTGCTCATTAGTATTAACGTTGGCTCAACAAGCACCTCCTTAGCTATAGTCACTAAAACCGTTTTGGGCTGGATGCCGACCATGTTGGAAGTGCATCACAATCATGAAGTTCATTCTTACAGTGTGTCAAGTGCAGAGGGCAGGAATGGGGGGTGCTTCCTTAGAAGACGTGGAGCCCACAATGGGTTTGCCATTTAACCCTATTCATATGAGGCTGCTTGGCTCTCTTCCAAAATACTAGGGGAAGAGCAGCTGTTAAGAGGTTTTTGCCAAGGTCTAATATCAAAGAATCAAAAGATAACAAGTGCTGACGAAAATGTGGAGAAAAGGGAACCCTTGTGCACTGTTGGTGGGAATCTAAATTAATACAGCCACTGTGGAAAACAGTATGGAGGTTCTTCAAAAAAATTAAAAATAGAACTACCATGTGACCCAGCAAGCCCACTTCTGGGTATAAATCCAAAGAAATAAAAGCACTATTTTGAAGAGATATCTGTACTCCTTTGTTCATTGTAGCATTATTCACAATAGCCAAGATTTGGAAACAACCTAAATGTTTATTTGGATAGAGAAAATGTCACATACATACACACACACACACACACACATATACATACATACATACATACATACAATGGAATATTATTCATTAAAAAAAAAAGAAAGGAAGAAATCCTACTATTTGCAGCATCATGTGTAAACCTGGAGGACATTATGCTAAATCAGTAGTCGGCAAACTGTGGCTCGAGAGCCACATGCAGCTCATGAGCCGTGGTTTGTCGCTCTGTTGACAAATGAGTTTGCCGATCACTGGTAGACTAAATGTTACCATGTAGCTGTGAGGATTAGGCAGTTGTGGCATATTGTGTGCAAAGAGGTAAAGGGTAGTATAGGACAGTAGACGGCAAACTCATTAGTCAACAGAGCCACAGTTTGCCGACCACTGTGCTAAGTGAAAAAAAAGCCAGACATAGAGAGACAAATATTGTATAATCTCTTGTAGCAATGTGAGATCATGTATGTAGCACCTAAAAAAAGTAAACTCATCTAAACAGAGAGAGTGCATTGGTTGGTACCACAGGATTGGGGGGGGGGGGGCGGGCAGGGCAAACGGGGCAATAACTCTCAGTTATAAGATGAATAAGTTCTGGAAGCCCAATGTACATCATGCTGACTGTAGTTAATAGTGTGTTTACATACTTGAAATTTGCTAAGAGAATAGGTCTCAATTGTTCTCACCACACACACAAATAACTATGGGAGGTGATCGATATGTTAATTAGTTTGATCCTGGTAATCACTTCATAGTTTCTACATATATCAAAATATCACTGTATACCTTAAATATACACAATTTTTATTTGTAAAAAATAAATATTAAAAACTAGAGGGAAAAGAGGTTATTGCCAAGGCTCCACCATCTTTCTTGGAGCTTTTTCCCATGTCCTTTCACCCTCTAGAGAAGGGGAAGGGTTCTTGCAGAGAGTAGCTACAGATTAGGGGTAAGTATGGCCCCTTCAGGTGGACCTTACGCTTTCTTAGGTATAAATGTATTTCAGACTTCTGCTCACTCACTCTCTTGTCTTTTGTGCTCGCTCTCTCTCTCTCTCTCTATCTCTCTCTCTCTCTCTCAACATTTTAGGGCAGATCTTGTTTTTTTCAGTGCTAAGCAAAAAGGACAACCGACCAAAAAGGATTCTGAAGAAAAGGCATTTGTTGTTAAGCCTTAACCACAGGGTGCAATAAAGAACGTTCCTGTGGTAGCACTGCCAAGCATAGAGGAAATTATGGCATCTTCTTGTCTGAAAGTTTTCAGAGGATATGAAAGCTGTTAAT